AGGGCAGTGCTCACCAGTGGTGGGAAGGGCAGGCGCACGACGGAGGCGACTGCGGGGCCGCTACAGCGGCAGGGCGGGGCCGCGACCGCGGCAGGGAGCTCCGCAGCAGCTGCTGTAGGGCGGGGCGACGACTGCGGCTAGGGGCTCCGCGGTAGGTGCTGCAGGGCGGGACCGGGCCGCAACGGCAGCTGGTGCAGGGCAGGGACAGGGCCGCGACGGCCGCTGCTGCAGGGTGGGGCGGGGCCGTGACGGCAGCTGCTGCAGGGCGGGGCAGTCCGCGACGGCAGCTGCTGTAGGGCGGGGCAAACCGCGACGGCAGCTGCGGCAGGGCGGGGCAGTCCGCGACGGCAGCTGCTGTAGGGTGGGGCAGGGCCGGGAAGGCAGCTGCTGCAGGGCGAGGCAGGGGCGGCCGTCCAAAGGGCGGGCGCGGGATAGGGCAGGGCGACGCGGCGGGCAGGGGCGACGCCGCGCGGGCCCCGCAGGGGCGTCGCGACGAGCGGGGGCGACGCCCGGGTCCCGCTGGGGCGGTGCGACGCGCAGGAGCCGCGCCTCGCGGGTCCCGCAGGGGCGTCGCGAAGAGGCAGGGGCGACGCGCGGGTCCCGCAGAGGCGTCGCGACGAGGCGGGGGGGGGGGGGACGTGCGGGTCCCGCAGAGGCGTCGCGAAGAGGCAGGGGGCAACGCGCGGGTCCCGTAAGGGCGTCGCGAAGAGGCAGGGGCGACGCGCGGGTCTCGCAGAGGCGTCGCGAAGAGGCAGGGGGCGACGCGCGCGGGTCCCGGCGGGCTGCAGGCGCCGGCATGCAGCAGCCGCGGTGCGCGGGTTACGGCCTGCGCGCGAGCGGCCTACGGGCGGCGTACGGGCTGCCTACGGGCTGCCTACGGGCTGCCTACGGGCTGCCTACGGGCTGCCTACGGGCTGCCTACGGGCGGCAGCGGCCTACGGGCGGCGTACGGGCTGCCTACGGGCGGCAGCGGCCTACAGGCGGCGTACGGGCTGCCTACGGGCGGCAGCGGCCTACGGGCGGCGTACGGGCAGCCTACGGGCAGCGTAAGGGCGGCCTACGGGCGACGGCGGGCGACGGGCAGCCTACGGGCGGTGGCCTACGTGCAGGCAGGTCGCGGGCAGCTCGAGGGGCCGCGCGAGGCCGGTACGAACTGCGCGGGCGGCTAGCGGGCTGCGTGCGCACGGGCAGAACGAAGGGCGGGGCGCGCGAGGGCGCACTAGCAGAAAGAAGGCGCACGAGGGCGCACGAGCAGAGAAAGGCGCACTAGGGCGCACGAAAGGTAGGGCGCACGAGGGCGCGTCTAGCGGAATAGTGGGCTCGTAGTAGTAAGCGGTCCTAGGTGGCTAACCTAGGCTCGTGATACCATGTCAGAATCAACAAGAGTGATTGAACTAGGAAAGAGTTGGGTACAAGTAGGAAACCCTAAACTTACTATACCCCATAGTAACTACCCCACTACAGCCTAAACAAACTGTAGCAGATATAACATTTGACATTGCATGCGTAGGGGGGGGGCATGAATAACCAGGGGAAGAGCGAGGAGGGTTTTGAGTTCATCCAGTGCCCGAGGGGGGATGCAGGAGGAAAGATAGTCTCGTTCAAGGATGGCTTTATGGGAGAGCAGGCCATGTAGCCCGAAGGGGAACAGTGTCAGGGTCCATGTGACTTCCTCGGACGGGGTGGGTCCAAATCTGCGCAGGGCACGCTGGATAACGAGGGCTTTGATTTGGGTAGATGGGGCGATCGCACCAACCCCGCCGTCTTAGGGTGAGTTGTAAAGGAGACCATTGGGGAGGAAGCGTTATGCGAGGCCATCCTGTTTATGTTTTGAGGACGAGAGGAAGTTTCCAACTGATATGTTAATTCGTTTGATGGTGTCCAGAGGTGCAGGTTGGAAGCGGCCGGGATAGGAGATGACGGAGTTCAGAAAGATCGATGACAGAGATTTGCGGCACGTGACAGTGGCATGTAAGGTCGCCAGGCATTTGGCTGTGTTTTGTATGCGGGCGAGAGCCTGAGTCCAGGTGGTGGATCCAGGGTGTAGTCGTTCAACATAAATTCCAAGGATGCGTTCTGCTTCGCTTGGGGCTCGGACGGGGATAGGCCCGGCGTGCGCGAGGTCAGTGGGGGGAATATTGAAGGGAATAATGGAGCATTTGTTCCAATTGGGTACCTCCCCAGACACAGAACCGAAAACGCCGAGGAGTATCACTGCGAGGCCGAGCTCTGTGTCTGAGGTGAGGAAGATGGTGACATCGTACGCGTAGCATGCCATGAGTCGGCGCTGAACGGGGGACAGAGCGAAGCCGGGGAGGAAGAGGGACATGTAGCGGTGGAAGATCTCTATGACACAGACGAAAAGAAGAGGTGCCAGAGGACAACCCTGCCGGACGCCCGTACGGACGGGGAAGGTGGGGCCGAGCATGCTGTTGACGGAGATTCGTGTGTTCGTGTCGGAGTGCATTAGTCGTACCCAATGTATGAAGGGTGCTGGAATCCTGAGGACCGTTAAGGCTTGGAGGAGAAAAGGGCGGTCGACGAGGTCGTAGGCCTTCCAAAAGTCTACCGTAAGAGCGAGAAGAGGGGTTGATGAGAATGCTGCCCAGTCCATGATGTCGAGGGTATCATTGATTGTGTCTCCAATTTTCCTGTGTTTGATGAAGGCGGTTTGGGATGGGTGGATGAGCTGGGGAAGAACGAGCTGGAGGCGGTTAGCAAGACACAACGCGAGTACTTTGTAATCAGCGTTCATGAGGGTGATGGGGCGGAGATTTTCTACGAGCGAGGAGTCACCCCGTTTGGGGATGAGGACAGTGCGTCCGGTCAGCATGGACGGGGGTAGGCGAGAGAGAGGTTGTGGAGGGGAGAGCAGGGAATGGAAGACCGGTGCAAATCGCGGGGCGAATTGCCGAAAGAGTTCCCCGGGCAGGCCGTCTGGGCCGGGGGTTTTTCCTCGGGACAGAGAGAGTAGTGCTTTTCCAATTTCAGCTAGTGAGAAGGGGGCGCCGAGGCGTAGGAATAGGGGGTTCAGGATGGAGGAGGGAGGAATGTGTTGCCAGAAGGCAGTGTTTGCGGTGGCGGGGTTGTTTCCGCTGTAAAGGGTCTGGAAGAAGTTGGAGCACAGGTTCGTCATGGTGGGGAGGTCCGACGTTGTCTGTCCGTTAGGTAAGGTCAGGGAGCTGATGATCAAGCCCTTGATTCGCGAGTTGAGGCCAGAGAGAAGGGAGGAGACTCCCATTTCCCTGTGCCCTTCCACTTTGAGCTTGGCCTTGAGCGCAATCTCGGAGGCTTTCGAGGCTTCATACCTGGCCAGGTGGAGTCTTGCTTGGTCAAGGCGGTTAGATTCGGCCTGGGTCAGGGGCGTATACGCAGTGTGCTACTGAAGTGAGCCGATGGTGTATTCCAGATGTGCAACTGTGCCATCAACGCGGCGCCTCTCCTAGTTGGAGAAACGTTTGAGGTTAAGGGTGAGGTCGAGCTTCCATGAGTCCCAGGAGTCTGGGGAAGGGGTGCTTGGGAAGATTGCGAGGCAGGAGTCGATGATTTGAGAGACATGCGGGTGCATAAGTAGATGCTGTCGGAGGCGCCAGGGTCGGGGGGCAACTGTGGGGTTGATGAAGCTGAGCGAGCAGAGAGGGGCGTAGAGGTGGTCCGTGATTGCCGTGCGGGTCTGGATGTAGGGACTTGCAGTGAGGCGGGGGATGAAAGCTCGAGAGATGTAAATTCTGTCGAGTCTGGAGGAGGTAGGGGGTGTCGCAGTATTGAGACGTTGCCTCCTGAAGAAGGAGAAGACGTTGGTCGGCGTAGGGAAGAGTTCGCGGAAGGTGTCGATCAGTGCGTGGTTTTCCATGAGTTTGGCGAATGAGGCGCCCTCACGAGCCTCGAAGTCTTTGGGAGGGCGGTTTCTGTCGATGGGAAGGACGACCGAGTTGAAGTCTCCTGCAAGCATGGATGCGGAGGCGGTAGTAGGGGTTTCCAGTGCCGGGACGAGTGTGGTGGTCCACCATATCCTACGTCCGTAGAAATGTGTGGGGGCGTAAATGGCGATGAGGCAGATTTGCTCAAGCAGATAGTTGAGGTGTACAGTGATTAATTTGCCGTCTGCGGAGGGGGGCGGAGAGGACAGTGAGATAGCCCTGTTGAAGGAGAGGATAGAGACACCGCCGATGAGCGTGGGCCTCCCTGTGGCGCTCTCGGTGGAGAGTAGTGCTGGGGCGTGAGCGGAGGAGTGAGGTCTAAGTTTTAGGTCAAGGTTGGGGATTCTGTGGATGAGCTGGGTGTCGATGAGGATGACCAGGTCAGCTGGGGCAGGAAGTCTCGCCAGCCAAGACTTGAGCTCATCCATTTTGCGTGTCTCGTTGATTCCGTTCACGTTGATGCAGAGGAAGCGTAGGTGTGTTAACATGGCCATGCTGTGGAGGCTACCGCACGGGAGAGTGTGCGTATCCACGGCCTGGGTCTTAGGGAGGTTTGTTGCGAGGGTGGGTAGGGCGGGTGGCGGGTGAAGTGAGGGGTCAGCGCGTTGTCCCAAGGCGCTGTGGGGTTGGCTTGGGGGAGGAGGCACAGAGTGCTGAGCTGTGGTCCTGAGGGTGAGGGGGGAGTTGACACGGTAGTGCGCTCGAGAGCGGTTTGTCGCATCCCATATAGTTGGGATGGTCGTGCAGGGCAGTGGGGTCTGAAAACAACTATTGTAAGCGTATTGTGTTGGTTGGGGAGGTGTATGGACACCAGGTACGTGTGTCGGGTTTCGGGTTCTGGTTGGCTTGGTGGCCGAATTTCGCTACTGAGTTCTCTGGCTCTTCTCTTGTGATCGCAGATAGGTTCTTTACTGGTGGGACTATTATGTAAGAGTGTAGTTTTTCTCGATTGGGGGGGAAGGGCAGATTTGGAGATGGCGGTCAACGAGCCTGCAGGGCCGAGTTTTATTGATTATTCCAGTGCAGCACATCTCAGACCTAACCAGCAAGGGCATTGATACACTGACATGCATATGACATCTAGGCGCGGGACGTGCTCTTCAGCTGCTTGAGGAAGGCCTCAAAGCCCCCTTCCTTCAGGAAAGCCGGGTAGCTCCAGGTGAGGAACGGCTCCTTGGGAGCCTTCTTGTGTGCTTTGGCGAGCAGCTGAGCGCGGTGCGTTGCGGATTCCATGTGCTGCAGCGCACTGTCGAGCGCTGGGCCACATTCGAAGTTGCAGGCCACACGGGTCCATGGCTCGACATCCAGGTCCGTGCCGATGAAGAGAAGACCGGGGTCAGCGCGGAAGGCATTGGAGGCGGGTCGGGCTACGATGGCACCTCCTGTGGGTCGGGACCAGTAGGGGAAGGCGGGGGCAGGAGGGTTGGAAGGGGAAGTAAGGGACAGCAGGTGAGGAGAGGGGGAGTAGGGGCGGGTGTTTGGAGGTTCTGACTGGAGGGTAGCATACTGGTAAGATGGAAAAACAATAGCGTAGTGGGGGGGGGGGTGGGTAGAGGCGTGGGCTGGGGAAGGGAGGAGGGGCGGGGGACTGTACCGTTGGCCTTCTACAGTTGGGCAACCGTGAGCTGCGATTTGTTGCCGATCCGTCCCTTACGCTTACAGGGGAAGATCGCGTGGTCCTCCACGCGGTGGTTGCTTGCGCAGATGGAACAGACGTGAGTGGAGATGTTGACGAGAATGTCAGGGTCGTTACCGCCTACGGGAATCCGAGCCGGAATGGTGCCAAAGTCCGGATCTGTGGGGAGCGGAACTGGGATTCCGGTGAGAATGAGGAGAAATACCCCATCGTAGGGGTCTTGCATGCGGTGGAAGGACTTGATGCCCGCCAGCCAATCGGGCACCAGGTAAGCAAGGAGATTCGCCTCTTCGAAGCGGGCAGGGACTCGGCGCAGGGAGAGAATGGGGGAGCCGTCCGCCTTGGCCTTGGTGAAATCGGGGTAGGGGTCAGTGTACGGTTTGACCGAGATGGAGCGGCCCGGTGAGAGCTCGATGGGGTGGTTGAAGATGGCTAGGAACTCGTCAGCAGATTGCTGGGTCGGCCAGGAGACGCAGATCGTCGCGTAGGACCGTCCCGCGAAGCGCATGGTCTCGCCGTTAGTGGGGCGGGAGTCGGGAACGTATCTGCAGTCGAAAAGGGAGGGCTTCAGCTTCGCGAGGATTTTGGCGATGAGCGTGGCGCGGATGGCGTCAGCACCTGCTTCTGGGAAGATCAGGGTGACCACAGAACGGCTGCTCGTCAGGAGGACAGGCGGTGGCAGCATCGGGGGGGGCGGAGCCGGCTGACGAGAGGAGCGCGGCAGCTCTGGTTCGGGGGGCGTCTCCGCAGGCGGGGTCACCGTATTGTTCGTATCAGCAGCCTCGGCAAGGCCATGTGGGGCAAGGGAGCTCGGGCCGGGGGTCGTTGGGGTAGGGTTCATGTCGCTCAGTGCGGAGGCGTAGACGGCAGCTGCAGAGGCGTTCGTGCTGGTGGGCTGCGGATCGGGCGTCTCGGGTAAGACTGCCTGTTCTTCCATGACTCTGGATGTGGCGGCCGCCGAGTCCTGGGACGGCAGGCAGGGGTCGACGTCAACGCAGGGTTTCTTGGACGCAGGGAGCTCCGTCGGCGAGCGGGTGCGTGGGAGGTTCGAGCTTGAGGGATCGTCAGGGAGCTCCATCGCTTCGAGGTCCTCGTCGGTCAGCTCCATCGCTTCGTCGAACTGCGGGATGTCAGCCATGACAAGGGAGCAGAGAGGAAGGGTAGGGGTTATGGGAGACAGCGAGGAAGTGAATGTTGAGATCAAAGGGTGGTGGGTGTTAAGTAGCAACGGATCGGAGCAGTCCGCCGAGCAGCACTTCAAGGCAAGGACGAAGGGGGCAGAGCCGAGGACGCTCGAGGTACCGGTGGGTGTGGAGCTGCGGAGCCGTATAGATCGCGAAGGGGCAGTGGGGGAGATAGCCGCCCGGCCCATGTGGGGGTTATCGCATGCAGAAGGCGGTGCCTCGGGGGACGGGGTGCGTGGGGGTTGCCGCGTCCGGAAGTGGGCAGGGGCGTGGTGAGACCATCGGGCGCATAGGCGTTGGCCATCGCGTATCCGAAAAGGTGACCGGCAGCCTAATCGGCATTCCGAGTCTGGGTTCCGTACCGGCTCGAGAGCGCGGCGTGGGGTTGAGGTGTTGAGCAAATTTCGAGGTGACGGGAGGGGAAAAGGGTGGCGAAGTAGACGGTGGAAGGGACGTGAAACAGACTTCGAGGGCATGAAAGGAGAGCGTGAGCGAGGAGGAGGTTCTCTGGGGGAACATGGTGGCGTGACTGGGAGAGCTCCCAAGGGGGTGATGGAAAGCGGAGGCCAGGTGGGTGCATGTGTCTTGACGTACCTTGTTGGCGGGGAGGTGTCGAGGGAGCTCCTGGTGACGCGTACGTGGCAAGTGACAGGGAGAGAGGAGGGGTGGCAGCGGCAGCCATGCTTACCATGCGAGAGATGGCCGCCTGAGTCCTTGCAGAGGGGTGGCGGAACATTAATGCTGCTCCAGCAGGGCTGCCAGCACACCTTCTTGAGGCAAGAGGCAATGATGGTTGTGTCGTGTCCTCGAGGTGAGGATACTTTGCCGTCTCGAAGGGAGGGCCAGGGTATAAACCAATGAGGCCGGAGATGCTTACCAGGGGGATGTTCGGGTCTGTGAGTGAAACTGTATTTGATTTTCAAGCAGGATGGCGAGCGGGCAGACCCAAAGAGATAGTGAGGGGTCTTACCGAAGGTTCGAGGGGTTCGCGACTGCCTGTTGTAATTTTTGTCGGGAGATGTGAGGAGCTGTCTGTGGGCGGCGAGGCGTGATTCGCGTGCGACGAAGGGAAGTCGATCGAGTGTCAAGAGCAATTGCCAACGTAGCTCGGGGGCATCATGAGGGGTGTGGTTGAGTTTGTCGGGTCGGAGTAGGAGAACCATCGCGAAAAAGGACTTGCCTGTAGGCTGCTTAAAACTTGCCAAAAAGTTAACTTTTTGGATACTTTGGTTTTGCAGCTTTGCAGTGATGGACGAAGGTTGCAGAAATCCGAGTCACTGGAAAGTTGAATGAAAGTTGCAAGAAAGTTGCATTCCTGCAATACTTCCGCAACTTCGCGGACATTCGATGGACACGTTATGTATACATTTCAGCAACATGTATGCAGTTTCAATACTTGCCACGTGGCACGCGTACAGTTTCGACTTCGAAGTGTACGTACGCCGGTACGTTCGCGAAGATATTTTGCCACGTAAGCAAAGATATTGTGCCAGGTGTCAGTCTCGTTATGTGATCGGAAGCTTGCCATGTGGGCCAATCAGACATTAACTTGTCGTGTGCGAAAATTGATTTCTACTGGTCGCCGATTAGCCTGAACAGTACAAGCGAATCATTCGTTACAGCAGCTTTTTGTTACTGGTTTAGTCTGAGGGTTACAGTTTGGTGAAGATCTATAATATGTTTCACATTTGCATACATACTCATTAAGTATACACCTTTGCTCTAACACTATGTAAAAACGTACACAGCTAACACCAAGCACTTGCACATAGCTTCACGTCTTGTGTGGAGGGCATAGGCTGCGAAAAAATGCTTCTTTATGACGCCTGCAAACAGTACACACATAATGTTAGAGCTTGGTTAGTCATATGCGCGTTCCCCACCTCAGTGACTTACCACCTGCGGGGCTTCACCGCCACTTGTAACATTGCTTGAACGTGCTTGGTAGCTTCTGCATATTGATGAGACAGCTGGAAATAGAAGTTAACGTCGCGTGACTTCCATTAACCCTGCACATGAAAATCAATCCTGAAACACTATGACCACCAGAACAACAGACATGGAAACGTTATCGTTAGAGGCTGGATTCCAGACAGCAAGGGATAAGAAGGCGCATGGTGAGAAGCTCAAACAGAGGCAGAGAGAGACCTGCGTGCGAGTAAACACCCTCCGCGTTCTCGCGCTGACGACGGCGCGTCCCCTACGATTCGCGGGCCGAAGGTCCTAAGCAAGCAGTGAACATGGCGACGAGCAGTATTGGGAGGCTGGGGGGAAAAAGAAGCGGAACTGATTAGTGCGAAGAGGGAATGGGAGGACTGGCAGGGGCGGGAAATAATGCACAGGTCACAAGCGAAGGCGAAAGATCTGCACACATATCGGGAAGTTACGTGCAAGGCGATTGCTCGCGAAGAATAACCCGTGAGGATAGATGAACGGATGGAAACACATATCAGAGTTACAACCTAAGGCACACGCACGGATAAATGATTGCTAGGTCTCGAGCTACAGAAAGCATGTGTAGCACACCTTTCGGCGCTTTGAGCGCGGAACCCAGCGATTCCGTTACTAGTCGCTGGTGCCACGTTCTCCGCGTTAGGAAAACGCTGATGTTTAAACTGTAAAAGGGAAGGTGAGGATTCGGAGGGGCGGAAGGGTAAAGACATAGATCTGAGTAAGTATCAATGAGAAGATACAATAAAAAATACGATGGGCTGTCGTCTTCGGGTGCACACTTAGAGGCAGGAGATGTATGCGAGAATTGAAGAACCTCAACCAGTTGTGTGAGAATGAGGCAGGTCACGGGTGCTTGAACGGGATAGAGTCAAGTGCAGTGTGAGGGTAAGAAAGACAGATGCTTCTGGAGCTCGGAGGTGTGCTGATGTGTCGTCAAAAAATGCCGTGGATTTCTGAGGTAGGCAAGTGCACACCAGTGATTGGTTAGTTAAAAATCATTACGATGGACCACTTCGTTATCGGTTAGCTAAACCATGGTCCGGGGAAGCCACGTCAGTACAGTGAATCTGAACACTTAGCATGGATTGGGTGTGACTTTGAACCCGTGTGCCAGTTGCCCGTTTCGAGTGTTGGTTGCACCTTGGCGAGATTCGTCCTGTTACGTATCCTCCTTACTGTGCTCGCAAATCTCGTGAAAGCGTTCATCGATCGGATACCAGCAGTATCACACCATGGGGGACTCCCAAGGGTCGGTCGTGACCAGGTGTACAGTTCGGTCTGGATGTTTCGAAGTTGACGCTAGAAATGCGCGGTTCGAGTATCCCACGAAGCCAAAAATCGCGCCTCGGGTACCCCACGTACCCAAAATTCGCGGCTCAGTTACCCCTTGTATCCGAAATTTGTGTGAGTTGCAAAATTCAGTCAATGCTTTTTGGATACTTTCCCGATACAAATCAGCAACTTTCCTGCAGGTTTCAGACTTAGGCCCTGTTCGGCTGCAATTTTGCTGCCATGCACTTCTGACCAGCAATGGAACAAACCAGAACGACAAGACAGCCTCGGTCCGAAGCAGCCTCACTACAAAACAAACTCAACGTGGGGTACTGTTCTACTCTTCCAGCTGTTCAACCAGACACGCAAACGTGGGGCTGCTCTCGCATGTTGCACACAACAGACAACACCCCAGACACCTACTCTTGAAACCTAACAAACACAAACACAGGTTCCTTGCTTCGAGGAACCTGGGGAAAATATTCCAGGAAGGAGCACATTTTGTTCTCTGGCCAATAGGCTCTCTGCAAAACCCTCCCAATAAACAAACAACCATTCCTACCCACGTTGAAAGCAGGATCAGCACTGGACCGAGAACCAACCAGCAATGTACTTCATTTTGCCCGTGAATTACTGTGCACTTCTTGTTGGTTGGCACTGTTGGCTTGTCATGGAACCAACAACAAACCTAAAACAAAAACGAAACTGGTTAGGAAAGACCTTCGGAAATTTGACCAATAGTAGGGGAGTTTTACACGTCACCATGAGTCAGCAGGAGTGCCGAGCCTCCATTACTGTTCGGTTTGTTCTGTTTGTGGTTCATTGTTGTTTGGTTGTGACAGCTTTTTTGTGCAGCCGAACAGGGCCTTAAACTCGATTTTGGGCCAAAGCCTTTTCCGCGATGACGTTGCTCGGAGTTGTCGAGGGGTGGCCAAGTTGCTGGAGGCTGGCAGGCGTGTTCGATGGCGCAAGTTGGGGGAGAAATAGGTGGCTGTCTGGGGGCACTGGGTGGCAGCGAGGGAAGGCAAGGAAAAGGAAAACACCCAAAACAAACACACAACAGGGGCTTAGTTGAGAGAAACTTACCTTGAGTCGGGAGGGTCCGAGGGAGGGAAACCTGCATAATCTGCAATTGGTTTGACTATTCCGCGACTTCAGAGGGAACCAGGTAAGTTCGAAGCAGTCCCGGCCATTACGGCTAAAATGATGTGTTTGCGACATAGTCGGGGTGGTTCGGTTGGGGTACGAAAGGTGGGGGGTAGCTGCGGTGGGATGTCCGTTACTAAGTCGCATCTCTGTTTGGGGAGCCGCAGAGCAGAAGCACTGCGATCGTTTTGTCACGTCCGTGCGATTTTTTGCCCAGCTTGTGGTTCAAGTTGGGCATGGGTGAAGTACTACTACGTCTTCCGTTCAGTTTTTCGTGCTTCTTAGTTTTTAGTTGCTTGTCTAGCCATATAGCCCCAACTTAGGCTGTTGTTACCGCAACTTAGGCGCGTAGTGATTATATGTCATGATTGCGCAGTAATTGTGCCGTTTAGATTACCCTCTCGCCGCCTTCCTATCCCGACTCACTCGTCCTCGCGCCGTCCGTCCCGACGCCGTCTCGTCGCCCGAATTGTCGCCTCTATCGACGTCGCCTTCGCTATCTCCCGTCGCGGCCCTCCCCTCAGTTCGCGTCGCCACGCTATCTCTCCCCTCCCCTCCCATCGCCCTTCCTCTCCCGTCGCCTTTCCTCTCCCGTTGCCCTTCCTCCGTCGCTTTCCTCTCCCTTCGCCTTTCCTCTCCCGTTGCCCTTCCTCTCCCGTCGCTTTCCTCTCCTGCCGCCCTTCCTTCTCTCCCGCCGCCCTTCCTTCTCTCCCGTTGCCCTTCCTCTCCCGTCGCTTTCCTCTCCCGCCGCCCTTCTTTCTCTCCCGCCGCCCTTCCTTCTCTCCCGTCGCCCTTCGCTCCCGTCGCCTTTCTCTCCCGTTGCCCTTCCTACTCTCCCGTCGCCCTTCCTACTCTTCCGTCGCCCTTCCTACTCTCCCGTCGCCTTTCTCTCCCGTCGCCCTTCCTACTCTCCCGTCGCCCTTCCTCTCTCCCGTCGCCCTTCCTCTCTCCTGTCGCCTATTCTCTCTCCCGCCGCCCTTCCTTCTTCCCGTCGCCCTTCCTCTCTCCCGTCGCCCTTTCTTTCTCCCGTGTCCTATCCTCTCTCCCGTCACCCGTCTTCTCTCCCGTCGCCCCTCCCCTCCCGTCTTCCTCTCTTCCGTCGCCCTTCATCTCTCCCGCCCCATCACCCACCTCGGCGTCTTGGCGCTTGCCCCGAAATGCCTGCCCGTCACCCCGTCGCCCCGTGATCGTCGGCCCCTCTCGCTTTTCCCTCGCAACGTTACTCTCCCCGTCACATATGCCCTCGCTTTTTTCGTCGCTCCTCGCGGCACCCTCATCGCCGCCTTCCCATCACCCTCGTTGCCCTCACTCTCCCCCCATCACCCTTTTTCTCTCGGTTCGTATCACCCCTCGTATCACCCTCACACTCTTCCCTCACATCGTCCGTCACCATCGCGTCACCCTTTCTCTCTCCCCTCACATCACCCTCCTTGTCGCCGTCGCCCTCGCCTCAAATCGCCCTTCCTCTCTCCCTTCGCATCACCCACGTCGTAGCCCTGTCGCCCCCCAAATCGTCCCGTCTCCCTTTTGCTCTCCCTCTCGTTCTTCCCGTCGCCCTAGATGCAGCCGTCGCAATTTCCTCTCCCACCCACCATCACCCACCCCATCGCCTTCCCGCTTGCCACAAAACGCCTTCCCGTCTCCCACCCACTTCCTTCCTCCCCGCCTCCCGTTCCTCTCTCCCCTTCCATCCTGTCGTTCCTCTCTACCCTCCCATCCCGTCGTTCCTCCTCTCTACCCTCCCATCCCGTCTTTCTTCCTCTCTCCCCTCCCACATCGCGGAAAAGTCGAGCGCAGAATTTTGGCTTCCGTAGGTTTTTCTACAAAAAAACACACAGAAAGTCCCAGAAGCCTTACAAAACATCCCAGACAAAATGTGACGGTAATGTCACTCTCAACCAGGACAAAATTGTCACGCTTCAGCAACATTCGAGTGACGCGAAGCTGTTAGTTGCGAAAACGTTCGGGTGGCCTGGGTGGTTAAATATGACACGAGTGGTTTAGAGCGTTCGAATGCGATTCATCTTTGTGTTGCAGACCGAGTTCATCAACCCAACTGGGTGAACAAGTATCACGAAACATACGAACATATAGGACCACCAGCGATGAAAATCAAAACGGGGCAACAACGTTCGCCAATTTCGCAAGCACAGAATGAACAACATTCTGCCAAGTCGAGCGTACACGTAAGTAAACAAGTCATTCTCCTCCGACCTCTTGGCAGCCTACTGTGCGGAGCACGGCATCCGCCAGTCGTTCACGCTTCCGGCCTCTCCACAGCAGAATGGGGTTGCTGAGCGCCGCATTGGTTTGGTCATGGAGGTCGCTCGTACCTCCTTGATACATGCGGCTGCCCCCCACTTTCTGTGGCCGTTTGCGGTCCGATACGCTGCACATCAGCTCAACCTCTGGCCCCGTGTCTCCGTTCCGGAGACCTCGCCGACACTGCGTTGGACGGGAGAGGTTGGCGATGCGTCGCGTTTTCGGGTCTGGCGATCTCGAGCTTTTGTTCGCGATACGTCTGCGGACAAGCTCTCCTCCCGCGCTGTTCCTTGTGTCTTCCTTGGCTTTGTCCCGGACGCGTCTGGTTGGCAGTTTTACCACGCCACCTCGCGCCGTGTCCTGCCCTCTCAGGACGTCACTTTTGACGAGTCGGTGCCCTACTACCGCCTCTTCCCCTACCGCACTGCCCCGCTTCCCCCCCCGCCTCTCTTCCTCGCGCCAGGTGGTGCTGTGGTAGACCCCCTCCCCCCTCAAGGTGCTGCTCCCTCAGGTGTGTCCCAGGTAGACCCGGTTGAGCCTGTCGAGGTAGCTGTCGACTCTCGTCCTGCCAGGGGTGCTGAGCCTGAGCGTGCGGAGCCTGGGGGTGCGGAGCCTGGGAGTGCGGAGCCTGGGGGTGCGGAGTCTGGGGGTGCTGAGTCTGGGGGTGCTGAGCCTGGGGGTGCGGAGTCTGGGGGTGCTGAGCCTGGGGGTGCGGAGCCTGCGGGTGCTGGGTTTGGGGGCGCTGAGCCTGGGAGTGCTACGTCTGAGGGTACTGAGCCTGAGCGTGCTGCACCTGGAGGAGGCCTCTCCTCGCAGCAGCTGCGTGAGTGGTACTTACAGTACTGCAGCCTCAGGAGAGGTGCTTCTGGAGCTCGGAGTGGTGCCGGAGCTGGTGCTAGTGCTTCCCCTCCTAGGCGGGAGCTGCCCTCTCCCCAGCGGCTCCGAGAGTGGTACGCTCGGCGCTGCAGTCTCAGGAGTGGCGCTCCCGGTGTCGTGGACTCTGGAGCTGTTGGAGCTACTGGAGGTGCTGCTACTGCTGGCGGTGCGGCTGGCGCTGCTGGAGGTGCTGCTGGTGCTGGAGCTGCTGAAGCTGCTGGAGGTCCTGCTGCTGCTAGCGGTGCTGCTGGCGCTGCTGGAGGTGCTGCTGGTACTGGTGCTGCTGGAGCTACTGGAGGTGCTGCTGCTGCTGGTGGTGCCGCTGGCGCTGCTGGAGGTACTGCTGGTGCTGGAGCTGCTGGAACTGCTGGAGGTACTGCTGCTGCTGGAGGTGCTGCTAGTACTGGTGCTCCTGGAGCTACTGGAGGTGCTGCTGCTGCTGGTGGTGCCGCTGGCGCTGCTGGAGGTGCTGCTGGTGCTGGAGCTGCTGGAGCTGCTGGAGGTACTGCTGCTGCTGGAGGTGCTGCTGGTACTGGTGCTCCTGGAGCTACTGGAGGTGCTGCTGCTGGTGGTGCCGCTGGCGCTGCTGGAGGTGCTGCTGGAGCTGCTGGGACTGGGCCTGCTGAGGGGGCCGGAGCTGGAGGTGCTGAGCGGCCACAGCCGTACTACGTTCCGCTCCTTCAGCAGGTTCTTGGCCTTCCGCCCTCTCCTAGTCCTACTCCTCCCCTACTGAGTCCACCGCCTGTCCAGTTGCAGTCACAGTTACAGCCAGTCTCTCCACTTCGTGGTCCTTCTCCCTACACTGCGCCGACGGGAGGTCTTACGGAGCGCCGTGAGCCTAAGTCTCGTCCTCCGTCGCCTGAGACTCGTCCAGAATCTTCTGAGTCGCGTCCAGAGTCGCCTGTCCGCGCTGTCCGCGCTGGTCGTCGTGCTCCGCGTCAGCGTCCTCCTCCTGTCCTTGGCACTCACTATATGACCCTGCGTCCCTCTACTGCTCCACAGCGTGTCCCACTGCCGTCTCCACCAGCGTCCTCTCTTCCTGCTCTCGCTGACCGGAGTCTGACGCTCTCCGTGCTGCCAGTCCTACTGTCACGCGTCTCCTTGCCACTGTTGTCACTAACCCTTCCTTTGAGTCCTCAGCTGCGTCTGCTCTAGTCGCTGAGCTTGTTGACTTTGCTGTTGCCTGTCGTCTAGACTACGCCGCTAGCCTTGTTGCTGAGTCTGAGTCTGTCTGTCCTCCGTCTGTCGGGGGTGAGTGTGCTCTTGGCACGGACGTCCTTGAGGACAGATAGGAGGAGTTTGAGTGTTTTGCCGCTGCTTTGCCTCATCTCGTGTCCATCCTAGTTGCCCCTGAGGGAGACCCGGATGCACCAGACATCCCGACCCCACGCTCTTACGCAGAGGCGATGGAGGGTCCCTACTCCTCTCAGTGGCAGACAGCCATGGACGCAGAGATGGCTTCCTGGAAGTCCACAGGCACCTACGTCGACGAGGTTCCCCCACCTGGGGCGAACATCGTCAGTGGCATGTGGATTTTCAGGGTGAAGCGGCCGCCGGGCTCTCCGCCTGTCTTCAAGGCGCGTTACGTTGCACGAGGCTTCAGTCAGCGAGAGGGAGTTGACTTCTTCCAGACCTTCTCCCCGACCCCGAAGATGACCACTCTTCGGGTTCTGCTACACGTCGCCGCTCAGCGTGACTACGAGCTCCACTCTCTTGACTTCAGCACTGCGTTCTTACAGGGCAGCCTGCACGAGGAGATCTGGCTGCGCCGCCCACCAGGCTTCACTGGGTCGTTCCCTCCTGGTACCCAGTGGAGCCTCCGGCGGCCAGTCTACGGTCTCCGCCAGGCACCCCGTGAGTGGCACGACACACTGAGGACTACTCTTGCTGCTCTTGGGTTTGCTCCTTCTACTGCTGACCCGTCGCTGTTTCTACGCACCGACACCGCTCTGCCGCCGTTCTACGTTCTCGTGTACGTAGACGACTTGGTCTTTGCTACTGCTCACACTGAGGCACTCGCCCACGTGAAGTCGGAGCTGCAGAAGAGACACACGTGCACAGACCTGGGTGAGCTGACAAGCTATCTTGGCTTGCGGATCACCCGGGACAGAGCACAGCGCACCATCACCTTGATTCAGTCACACATGGTGCAGCAGGTCCTTCAGCGCTTCCGCTTCACGTACTCCTCGCCTCAGCCCACTCCTCTGCCTTCCGGTCACTCGCTCTCAGCTCTGCCTTCGGATGAGTCCGTAGAGCCGAGTGGCCCGTATCCAGAGCTTGTGGGCTGCCTCATGTACCTGATGACCTGCACTCGACCTGACCTTGCATACCCTCTTAGCATCCTAGCACGCTATGTCGCTCCTGGCCGTCACCGGAAGGAGCACATGGATGCCGCTAAGAGGGTGTTGCGCTACTTGTGCAGTACGTCGGGCATGGGGCTCGTGCTTGGAGGTCGGAGCGACGTTGTCCTCACTGGTCACTCAGACGCTTCTTGGGCTGACGACCAGGCTACGCAGCGGTCGTCTCAGGGTTACACCTTCAGCCTTGGCTCTGGTTCAGGTTCTTGGCGTTCTACTCGCTCTTCTTCTGTTCTCAGCTCCAGTTGTGAGGCTGAGATCTACGCCACAGCCATGGCTGCACAGGAGTTATGCTGGCTCACCTACCTGCTGACCGACCTGGGAGAGCGGCCTCGTTCTCCTCCAGTGCTGTACGTTGACAACAAGGCCGCCATTGCCTTGTGTGAGGAGCACAGACTGGAGCACAGAACGAAGCACATCGCTCTGCGCTACTTCCTTGCTCGAGAGCTACAGCAGCGTGGTCAGCTTCGTCTGCGTTACGTGGCCACTCGGGCCAACACTGCTGATGTGTTCACCAAGGCGCTTCAGCCTTGTGATCATCAGCGTTTCTGTACTGTTCTAGGCCTTGTGCCTACTGTCCCTCACTTGCTCACTTCTTGACTCTGCTTGTACTGTGATCTCTATATATACCTGCATGCTTACACTTGCTAGGTTGTGATCACTGTACCTCTTGTTATATTATCAAACTGCATGTGAACTGGTCTTGTGACCACTTGCTTGTGCTCGGAATTTGTGTGGTATCCTTTGAGATCCACCCTGAGCTTGTTTTGCTTTGCCTTGCTCGGACTGGTCTTGTGACCCCTTGCTCTCCCCCACTTCGCCTATGGGGGTGTGTCAAACATCATATATGTTGTAGTTGTTTAGGCTACTGTGGGTTAGCCTTTAGGGGGTACACAATTCTAGGGTTAGGTACTTGTACTCACTTCTCTTCCTAGTTCACTGATCTTCAATCTCTCACAGTAACGTGCCACATCTCATCTTTAGTAACCACCCATATCTCCCACCTTTCCGTACCTAATAAACCGAGCCTTACGAATCGTCCCAACCAATCGTGGTGGTCCACAAAACCATAATCAGCACTCACACCCTCCCTTATCTACACATCAGCATACCGAACTTCAAACCACTTTCAACCCCTCATCCTCCCACCCCCTCCACCCAACCCCCACCCCGCCTTACAAATGCTATGACTCCCACGTTTTCAGCAGTTAGTCTAGATCTCCCGTCTAAGCAGTTAGTCTAGATCTCCCGTCTAAAAACTCCTCTCCTCGCAACGAAGATCTAGATACCCTCCTGAGCTCTATGTTCCTCCTTCCAAGCGCTCCGTTTTTTTATATTTTCGTCATCGCCATTATATCCATTACTAGGAGCTAGCAATTTCTGAAGCTAGCTTGCGGTCCCGGTCCATACACTTCGGGTCCTTTTTTTTCTTTTTCTTATCTAAACCTACTCGCAACTGCATATCTCACTCCGAATGTACCCTCCTCGGCTTCCTCCCTGCTCTCCCAACCTCTCTCCCCCCCCTCCATAGTTAATCTCCGGATGACGAACCGCCGCACGCTTAGCGACGGGAAGCCGCCGCCCGGGCAGTCGCTTTGGACGACAGATTCGGTCAGTGCCATGTCGCTACTTGTGTTTATGCCTGTCTTGATTCCACACCCGGCGGTAATCATATTTTTGCCTTCCCCTCTGCTTCTGCCCTCCCCAAACCATTTTCAAGGTTAGCCTGGCGTGTGAGGGAGCGATAGGGCTGCGCAAGGTGACCTTTGCGTACCCCTCGCGCCCGGACGTGCCCATCTTCCAGCGCTTCAGCCCCGCCAACGTCCACCACTTCATCTCCTCGCTGGCCGACGTAAGTGCGCTCGCGCCTCTCCTTCGTCCGTCTCTCTTCCACCCTCCGTCTCTCCCTCTTACCCCTGCTTCTCAGACTGCTTTCCGTTCCCCCTTACCCTCCGTTTCCGCCTCCCATACCCCGGCCTCGCACTCCCATTCTTACCGCTCTCTTCCCTCCTTACCCTCCCCCTCCCTCTGCAGGGCTACGAGTCGCAGGTGTAGGAGCGAGGCACGCAGCTGTCGGGGGGCAGAAGCAGCGCGTGGCGATCGCGTGGGCTATTCTACGGAATCAGCGGGTGGTGCTGCTGGACGAGGCGACGTCGGCGTTGGACGCGGAGATTGAGCAGGCGGTGCAGGCGGCGCTCGATGCGCTTATGGGCGCGCGCACCACGCTCATCGTCGCCCACCGCCTGTTCACCGTGCGCCGCGCGCACTGCATCGCCGTGCTCCAGCGGGGGCACGTCGACCGTTTTATTCTTCAAGCTGTTCACGTAATTGTTTTTGTTTCTCCCTCTCACGTGTCACGATCTTTTGCTGTTGTCTTGATTGCAGGTTCCATAACGTTCGGCGTGTTTTTATGCAGGCACCAAACCGTTTCGTGATTTAATTTGCTGGTATACTCAAGTATCGTCCGACCCCATCTTGTCGGCTTAGTTCCTAACTATGCTTTAAGTTAGAGCTGGTTAGCTATGTGTCCATATGGACGTGCTGTTGTGCAGACGTGCGGTTGTGTTGCTCTGTCAATGTATGTACTTGTTGAATAATTACATTTTAAAAAACTCCAATGGACGTCCCGGTAGTGTTTTGAATTTCCGACGTGCTCAATGCGATGCTGCAATTCGTGTGCGACATGCGGTCGCTGTTCACAATCGCTAGCCAATGAAATTACGTTTTGGGCACACCCCTAACTGACATTTGATTGGTCGATTTCGGCCAATCACCAACATGTGTCAGAACATATATATAGCTTATGCTGTTGTGTAGGCTATAGTGGGGTATCCCATAGGGGGTACAACCCAATTAGGGTTTCCTATATGTACTCACTTCATTCATAGTTCATTCATTCTTGTTCAAATCTTCTCATGGTATCGAGCAGGTTCCCCCTTGGGAACTGTGCTTAGGGCCCACCACATCGATTTTTTTTTTCCTGCCCGAAGCGCGCTCAGCCCGAGTCGCGCTCCGGGCCCTCACTTCGTCGAGCCGCCCTAGCGGCCCTTCACTGCGGCCCCGCCACTCGTCTCAGCGGCCCCGCCGCCCGTCTTCGCGGCCCCGCCGCCTCTCTCCTAGCGGCCCCGCCGCCCTACCTAGCGGCCCCGCCGCCCTACCTCGCGGCCTCGCCGCCCTATTGCGCGGCCCCGCCGCCCTACCTAGCGGCCCCGCCGCCCTTACTCGCGGCCTCGCCGCCCCATTGCGCGGCCCCGCCGCCCTACCTCGCGGCCTCGCCGCCCCATCGCGAGGCCCCGCCGCCCTACCTAGCGGCCCCGCCGCCCTTCCTCGCGGCCCCGCCGCCCCATCGCGCGGCCCCGCCACCCTATCTAGCGGCCCCGCCGCCCTTCCTCGCGGCCCCGCCGCCCCATCGCGCGGCCCCGCCGCCCTTCCTCGCGGCCCCGCCGCCCCATCAGCGGCCCCGCCGCCCTATCAAGCGGCCCCGCCGCCCTTCTCTGCAGCGGCCCCGCCACTCCTCTACAGCGGCCGAGCCGCCCAGCAGCAGCGCAGCCGAGCCGCCCAGCAGCAGAGCAGCCGAGCCGCCCAGCCGTCGAGCCGCCCTGCAGCCGAGCCGCCCGGGAGCCGAGCCGCCCTGCCGCCGAGCCGCCCTGCCGCCGAGCCGCCCGGGAGCCGAGCCGCCGAGCCGCCCTGCCGCCGAGCCGCCCTGCCGTCGAGCCGCCCTGCCGCCGAGCCGCCCGGGAGCCGAGCCGCCCAGCAGCCGAGCCGCCAAGCCGCCCAGCTGCCGGGCCGCCCTACTGCCGAGCCGCCCGACCTGCCCTGCCTGGTGAGCACAGCACCACTGTTACTGCGTGCCCTTCCCCTACTGCTTGCACTACTACACTGTCGTCGTCATGGCTACCCCTAGTCTCCTCGCTTTTGACGCTGAGGGTCGAGCCATTGACTTTGAGGTCTGGGTCGACGACCTGCAGCTGTTCTTACAGTGCGATAGGGCGGACGGTCTTTCCCTCTTTGACCTCACCTCTGGCGCCTCTCCTGCCCCTGCTGCTGATGCTGACCCCACTGTTCGCTCTCAGTGGGCCACCCGCGATGCTGCTGCACGTCTTGCTGTGCGTTGCCACCTGCCTACCACTGAGCGCGCGCACTTTAGTCAGTACAAGAGTGCTCAGACCTTGTACGACGCTGTAGTTGCGCGCTACTCTTCCCCTGCCACTGCTGCCCTGAGCCGCCTCATGCTACCGTACCTCTTTCCTGACCTTGCTGCCTTTCCCACTGTCGCTGACCTCATTACGCACCTCCGCACTAGTGACACTCGCTACCGCGCCGCCCTTCCTGCTGAGTTCTGCGCCAAGAACCCCCCCCCCATGTACATCACTCTCTATTACATAGTCACACGCCTCCCTGACTCCCTTCGCGTAGTCAGGGACCACTTCCTCTCAGTCTGTCCCACCACTCTCACTGTCGACCTCCTCGAGAAGTCCCTCCTTGCGGCGGAGAAGAGCATCGTCGCTGTAGGAGCCTCTCGTGGTGACCCTCGCACCCCCATCTTTGAGGGGTGTTCTCCTTCCCCCCTGTTGCCCTCTGTTGCCTCTGCTGCTGCTGCCGACCTGCTTGGTCTTGAGTCGGTCTGCGCGGCGTCTGCCCCTAGCGGGAGACGCCGCCCTGGCAGGGGCAAGGGGGGCATGGGCGCGGGTGGAACTGGCGGGGGCGGTGGAGGTGGCGGTGGAGGCGGCGGAGGGAGTGGGGGTGGCGGTGGGAGTGGTGGCGGGGGCGGTGGTGGCGGTGGCAGCAACGGAGGAGGAGGCGGTGGTGGCGGCAGCGGTGGGAGCGGAGGCAGCGGTGGTGGTGGAGGTGGAGGCGGCGGTGGCGGAGGGGGTGGAGCTGGTCGGGGTGGTGCCCCGCAGCGTAGCGGCTCTGGTGGTGGCCAGCGTCAGCAGCAGCAGCAGCAGCAGCAGCAGCAGCAGCGTTCGCAAGACATCCCCCCGCCCCAGCAGCTCCGTGAGTGGTACACGCAGCGTCAGCGGGGTGGGGGTTTTGGTCCGTGCACCTACGTCCTTCGTTCCGGCGACCGCGCGGGTGAGCAGTGTGGGGGTGCCCACCCCACCCAGCGCTGCTTTGGCCGCCTGACGGACGCTTGGCGTCAGCAGTTCCCCGAGGCCAGTGAGATTCCCCGTTGGGGAGAGCTGTCTAGGGCTGGCGTAGCTATCTTTGATCTTGACTTTGATGCTATCCTTGCTGCCATGTATGCTGTGACTATTAGTGAGGAGGGTGACTGTTACCGGTGTTTCCCGCCTGACCCGGGCATTGGTACTGCTGCGCCAGGTACTTCTGCGGCTACTGCTCTAGGTGCCAGTGCGTCTGCACTCTCAGGTACTGGTGAGGCTGCGCTCTCAGGTACTGCGTCGGCTTCGGCCTCCCTCACCTTCACGCTTGACTCAGGGGCTTCTCGCTCCTTCTTTCGAGACCGCACCACACTCACGCCGCTTGGCCGGCCGGTTGCAGTCTCCCTGGCTGACCCCTCTGGGGGTCCTGTCCTCTCTCACTTCTCCACTGTCCTCCCGTGTCCGGCTGCCCCCTCGGGCACCTTGTCTGGTCTGTACCTCCCCTCGTTCTCGACGAACTTGGTGAGTGGTGCTGACCTGCAGGATGCGGGGGTTCACCAGTTTACTCCTGCGAGTCAGCGGGTGACCCACTGCTCGGACGCCCGCACAGGCCGACACCTGGCCACGTTTTCGCGTCGGCCGGGGTCGAGTCTCTACACCCTGACCACTGAGTCTCCTCCTGTCCCTGCGTCTGGCCAGGTAGCTGCGTCGGGTCAGGTGTTTGCTGCTGCGTCCAGGTCTGGTCCTGAGTCTGCCCCCTGCTCGTGTCGCCGCCTGTCTCATGAGACTCTCCTGTGGCACCACCGTCTTGGCCACCCCTCCTTGCCTCGTCTTCGGGGCATGGCTTCCCGTGTCCTTGTCTCTGGTCTTCCCCGGTCTCTCCCTCCCCTTCCTTCGGGACCCGGACCTTCCTGTGTCCCCTGTGTCGAGGGGCGGCTCCGGGCTGCCCCTCACTCCTCCCAGTTTCCCCCGACAGAGGCTCCTCTGCAGACGCTTCACATGGACGTGTGGGGCCCGGCCCGCGTCCGTGGGCAGGGTCACGAGCGCTACTTCCTGCTGGTGGTTGACGACTACTCGCGTTACACCACAGTCTTCCCCTTGCGCAACAAGGGTGATGTCACTGAGGTGTTGATCGACTGGATCCGCGCAGCTCGTCTCCAGCTCAGGAGGAGCTTCGGCTCGGACTTTCCTGTTCTGCGTCTGCACTCTGACCGAGGTGGAGAGTTCTCCTCTGGCCTTCTGCGAGCCTACTGTCGTGCACGAGGCATCCGCCAGACCTTTACGCTTCCGGACTCTCCACAGCAAAATGGGATTGCTGAGCGCCGCATTGGCATGGTCATGGACGTCGCTCGTACGTCCATGATGCATGCGGCTGCCCCCCATTTTCTGTGGCCGTTTGCGGTTCGGTACGCGGCGCATCAGATCAACCTTCACCCCAGGGTCTCCCGGCCGGAGACCTCCCCAGCTCTGCTGTGGACGGGGAAGGTCGGCGATGCGTCTGCGTTCCGTGTCTGGGGATCTCGGGCGTTTGTCCGCGACTTGTCTGCGGACAAGCTGTCCCCTCGTGCTGCTCCCTGTGTCTTCCTCGGCTTCCCCCCTGACGCCCCAGGGTGGCAGTTCTACCACCCCTCCTCTCGTCGTGTTCTGTCCTCCCAGGACGTCACGTTCGACGAGTCAGTCCCCTTCTACCGCCTCTTCCCCTACCGCACTCCTTCCCTCCCCCCGCCACCGCACTTCCTTGTGCCAGGTCCCCCCCCGGTAGACCCCCTTCCCCCTCAGGGTCCTGCCCCTTCAGGTGTGTCCCAGGTAGACGCAGTCGAGCCGGTCGAGGTTGCTGGTGACTCTGGTCCTGCTGCGGGTGCTGAGCCTGGGGGTGCTGACTCTGGGGGTGCTACGCGCGTGGGTGCTGAGCCTGGGGGTGCTGAGCCTGGGGGTGCTGAGTCTGGGGGTGCTGAGCCTGGGGGTACTGCGACTGGGGGTGCTGAGCCTGGGGGTGCGGAGTCTGGGGGTGCTGAGCCTGGGGGTGCTGTGACTGGGGGTGCTGAGCCAGGGGGTGCTGCGTCTGGAGCTACTGAGCCTGGAGCTGCGGAGCCTGCGGCCACTGGACCTCCCCTTGTGGCGTCTGGCGGTGCGGGACCTGGCGGTTCTCCGGGTGCTTCGCCTCGGCGGGAGCCCCTCTCTCCACAGGAGCTGCGCGAGTGGTTTGCTCGCCGCTGGAGACGTACTGCTGGAGTTGGAGCTCCTTCGGCTGCTGAGGGTACTTGTGCCGCTGGTCCCGGAGCTGCTGGGCCCTCG